TTCAAGCTGAGGATATTTATAGAACTGGGAGCCAAATTACTTCTCCTGTTGCTCTTTTCTCTGTCCGGGCCTGCAGTTACGATAAGCATCCCTGCCATGCAACGCCTTTGATTGTTTTAACTCCCATGCTGCTGCTCTCTTGGGTGGGGAAGGAAAGGGGGTGGCAAAGAACAGGGGGAAGGGAAGGAGAGCAAGCAGGAAGCCATTTGAGAAGGGTGCATGGAGGCAAACCTGGCTGATGGGTGTAGAATTTGGTATGTCCAGGAATTAAAAGTATAGCGTTACTCCTCCAGTGCAGATGTCATGTTGAGTACAGTGCGGGAGTGAAGGGGTTAAACGCCCCTTAGGTGGGGAGAGGCTTCTAGCCCCACCTAACATGGCAGCAGACAGCCAGTACCCAGAAAAAAAGTAGTTTAAATCCCCCTATGCTGTTGTCTTGTAATACAGCACACAACACTTCCCGAGCAGCTCCCCCCGGACGCGTTTTCAGGCTGGCTGATAGCAGGGGTCCCCGGCACAGCAGTTTGTCTAGCTGTCCCTGCATGGGATCCCCAAATCTGACAGGTCACGCAATCCTTGGCCATCCAGAAAAACCTGCTCCTTGTCAGACCCTATGGTCTAGGCAGGCTCCAGGACGCTTGCCATGCTTTCTGCGGTGCCTTCTGGAAAACTGTCCACCACATAATTCTGGAGCACAGCGGTGGCATCGCTTGCAAAAAACATCGTCCAGGTCCTCCTAGTCCGGGCAGGGAGTGGAGCATTACCAGAGTGGCAGTGCTTGCCCCTTGTCTTCAGGTTCTTCTCTTGGAGTGCCTTTGCTTGGACTCGGCACTCGGCCCAGCTCTGGGCATGCCCTTTTCCTCATTTGCTCTGACACGGTCTCGTACATGCCTGCATTCTGGAGACAGATGAGACTGGACACGCAGCTCTCCAAAGAGGGCAATCAAGTCCAGGAGCTCTGCAGGCATCTGTGTGGAGGCTTCAGGGCACAGCTGCTATAGTGGGGATGTGACTCTGGAAGGGTGAACTCACCATTACCTGGTATTGAGGCGCACCTGACTAAATGCCAGCATGTAAACGGAGAAGTGACAAGATGACCCTGGAGTAGTGGTCTCCATACAAGTACACAGACAGAGCAGTCCAGGGGAGAAGCAATGCAGCGTGAGATAGCAGTGGGACGACTGCCAGCAGCAGAGTCATGGAATCATCTGAACCTTAAAGCAAACTCACTGCAAAGTGGAGTTACTCCTGTCCCAAGGAGGATTACTTAGGTGGTGTCTACACTGTCACTTTCAGAGCTAAAACTTTAGTCGTTCAGGAGTGTGAAAAAACACCCCCGAGTGACAAAAGTTTTAGCGCTAAAAAGCGCCAGTATAGACACCCTCATTCGGGTGGGTTGGTTTTTAAATCCCCGGGAGAGCTCTTCCCCAGCGATAAAGCGTGCCTACACTACCCACATCACAGCGCTACCGCCCGCCCATGCTGTAACATGGGCAGCATAGACATACCCTTACTGCAGCAGCCAAAGATGCCAAATAATTCACTTTAAAAAAAGATTGTGTATGGACACAAGGCACCGTCAGGCGTATAAACTAAAGTTACTTCGATGTAACATCCCCAGGTAGACAAGCCTTCATTTTGAATAGAGGTTATGAGGACTGGTGTTGAGAGAGACTAAAATTAGCAATGTCACAACATGTAAATGTACTTACTAGACATTTAGGCTGATCCAGTTAAGGAGCATTAAACCATTTGCCCTGTTTGTTAGACTATTAGGGTTAACACTTTCATTTTCTACTGGTAAAATTATAGCGTGCCTAAATATTGCAGGTGTTGGAAGGTCTTCCGGACTAATCTGATACTTCCTAGTGGAGTGCTCCTTTTACATACTGATCTGGGTACAGAGGCTATGGTGACTAGGTAGCCAGGCCTTTAAGTTCATTTATATGGGTGTACGCCAGATGCTTAGTATTGTGTGAATGCAGTAGTGCATTTCTGTTGCCTTTGATTTACTATCAGTGAGTGTTAGGAGAAGCTTCTAAAGACCACTTAAGCAGTATCCAAGTGACTAGCCATTATATATATCAGAAGACGACAGCTTCCTGCCCCATCACTCTGAGCCTCTTGCAGCTCCTAGTACTGCTCTGATTATATTTCTTTTCACCCTTTCAATCTTTAGTCACACAGGGCGCAACCCTGAAGTGCTCACTCAGGCAAAACTCACCCTTCACTTCACTTTGACTCAGAAAGAACTGCAGGATCAAGCCCACAAAGTCCTATTAAAAACAGTAGTAATTTAATTAAAATAATAGGTGCTACAGAACACTGATAATCTGTGCTATGCTGTTTTAAACCCTATCTGGTGTGGGTCCTGGCTACCAGAGAGACTTCTGTGTGCCACTGCACTAGTTAAGGTCTGCTGGGAGGTTTGCAAACTCTCCTAGATATGAATTTCTGAGCAATGGGGGCAGGACATTCTTAACAGAGGGTCCTAGACTCTGAAATGTGCTTCTCCCATCTGTCTGACAGAGCCGCAGTCTGTTGATCTTTAGGGCATATTGTAAAGTGTTGTTATAGACTATACATGCACCTAGCGACAGTTGCAATAGGCAAATTCTTATAAATTAAAAAGTTGTAGAATAAAGCCCACTCACACATACACCCCCCCCAGCACACACCCTGTGCCAGTCTGTCTCCCGATGGACTCTTCCATCCTCTCTGAGTTACTCCCATGCCACTTCACTGTACCAGAAGAAGGCTTTTAGAGGGCCAGGACTATCAGGCTAATGTCCTCTGCTCTGAAAGCATCTTAGTGCTCGCACTTCCACTGAAATCCATTGAGATTTGCAAGGCAAACATTACTTTGCCTAGTGTGATAATTAACTTCACAATTCAGCTTCCGTGGATACTTAATGAGTCATAGTAATTATTATGATAGTTTATATTGTGGTAGCCCCTTCAGACCTCCAACTAGATGGAAGGTACTGTACAACTATGTAGTGAATGACAATCTTCTCTCCTACATGTGTCTCTTAACCCACTTCCTATTGCTAACTCTCTTGTTTCACCAGCATTAAAATTCCTATTTCAATTCACAGGAGTCAGAACCACAAAGCAACATATTTATAAATAGCATAAATATCTGTGCAAGACAGGTCCTTCCTGCTGATCTGGAATGTTCTCAACTACCACAGCCAGCACCTCATTGGCACTCCAACCTCTTGCACAGATGTGGCCATGAGTGTCCCTCTTTCGGCTCCTACCTCTCCTGTGGAACACTATCACACAATCCAAAATGCTCATTAAATCCATTAAAATAATATGGATCCTGGTCCTCCAGAACGTTCACATGAGTTAAAAAGAACATACCTAATAGGTAAGGTCTGTCTCTCCTCTGCGCCCAGTCTGAGTAAAAGAGCAGGGCACTGAGGGGGGAAACCTTCCCCTCAAAGGCCACAGAGTCTGTCTCGCTGCTGGGAGGGGGCAGGAGGGGGCAATGACCAGCTGACTGATGCATCAGAACATCCGCTTGCCTTTCCCTGCCCCATCTCCAAGTTGCAGGGCAAAGGCAGCTGGAGCTCCAGGAAAGCGCTCATGGAGCCTGTTATACACAACCAAGCAGGGCACCCTCTGCAGAACTTGGATCTCTAATCCACATGAGTGCATGCAGTCTATGAGGTCTTCCAAGATCTTCCCTCCCTACCCCACACCCCATTTGGCTGCATTGGGAGATTCCCAGCACCTGTAGAGAATGGGGCAGTATTTGCAAGCTCTCTGTAGTTGTCTTTCAAATGCAAATATCTTGGCCATTTCCTTTCATTTAAAAAAAAATACCAAATGGGCTTAACTTACACTGCAGACTAACTGCAAAATGCATTCATTTGTTTCACGGAGCTTTTATTGTTCAGAAAGACAGAAACAGACAGAGAGGAAAGGAGAAGATACGCAGGCAGAGTGACTTAGCTGCAGTCTGGCAGGAAAGGATCTCATCACCCCAATCATCTCTTCTCGCTTTCTAGGTGCAAATCCAAGCTGTGTCACACTTGTGTGCTGTGAAGAGCCAAGCAAGGCCTTGCAGGCCAGAAACAATATGTGCCAGAGGCTCCCCTGAGCATCTCTCATGTTGAATCGGGACAAAGATTTTATTGAAGCAAGTCCTAAAACTGGCTTCTCCAGTTTGCCCATTGTTTATAAAAACAAAAATACAGCAGCTGGGCCAAAGACTTCAAACATATCTATTTCAAATCACATTAACTTATATTCTAAAGTTAGGGAGTCCTGAAAAGTTAGGTTTATAATGGAAAGACAATTAACCATACCATACCAAACCATACTGGCACAAACAGGTGCGTCTATAATACTTTATGCATTGTTTCCAGTCACACCAGAGAGGGGGAAAACAAGGAAAATGACAAACTGCAAAAGGGATAAACAGAAGGGGAAAGTCTCCAAAACAAACAAATCACAGATTTTTGACAGAGGAACAGCATAAAAAGCAGCTTTTTAAACAAACAGATCTAGAGTAACTAGTGGAATGGACCAGGAGAAATGCAATCTAAAGCCAGAGGAATACAACTAAGGAAACTTTTTTTTTTTGAAAATTGGTCCTTTAGCTCAGGACTACAGCAGACTTTAACAATATGTTCCTGGGTAAATAATCGGGATAGAAAATGGCCATGAATGTCAGTGACTATTTTCCTACAGGTAAAACTGTTAGTAAAAATAAGGTCTTATAAGGGATCATCTTTGAATAATTTGACTCTTATAGGCTAATGCTTCTAATGTTGGATCTTTCAAGACTGGATCCCCCCCCATGCCTGTTTGGAATGTACACAGTAAGTCAACTTTAAACCAGTTCTGCTCATCGTGGGCAGCGGGATGTACACGCTAAGCTCCAGTCTGCTGTCGGACAGTGGCAACAGCAATGCAATCCCCTCTCCTTCCCCCCAAAGCCTCCTGGGCCAGGCACTCCCAGAGACGAGCAAGAGGATGCTACTTACCAAAATATTCCTTCTTCATGTGCATCTCCAACTCCTTCTCCAGCTCCAGCGTCAAGGCTTCCAACCTCCTCTCTGCCTGGCTGGGTCCACTCTCCCTGGACGGGGTGACCTGATACGGAAGCTTGAATTTGGGAGCTGAAGCGGACCCTTTGGTTGGGCTGTAGGTGTAGGCTGCTAACGCCCCTGAAGCCGAGTCGGGGTTGGAGGCCGCAGGATGCTGCTGCTCGTGCCTGGGATAAGCATCTCCATGCTCCTGCGTGGTATTTTCCTCCTGTAAACTTGGTCCCAGCATGGAAGAGCGGGGGGAAGGCAGCTGGAGCTCCGGGTAAGCGCTCATGGAGCCTCTGGAGCTATGGCTGGAGATGCTAGACCTGGGGCTGATCACAGACGGGTTGCAGTTCCCCACCGCCCCTGTCCGACCATCCTGGCTGCAAAGGCTGGACCTGGGGCTGACCATGGGGAGCCCAGGCCCGCCAGCCCCATCCAGCTCGGGATTCCCCGACGGGCCGTAGCGGGAGTCCGAGTAGCTGGAGCGGGGGCTGATGGTGCAGGAATACTGGCTGGCGGTGCTGGACCGGGGGCTGATGTGCCGCTGGTCGTAGCCCATGCTGATGCCGCTGGTGCGGTTGCTGCTGGGCTTGCTCCCGCAGTCGTAGCTGTTCAGGCTGGCCCGGGGGCTGGAGTGCTTGCTGGTGTCACTGGCCGTGCTGGCGTAGCTCGACCGGGGGCTCAGCGCGCTGCCTTCGTACTGCACCAGGCTGGCCCGGGGGCTGGTGTATTTCTCCTGCCCGGGCACCACCAGGCTGGCCCGGGGGCTGGAGAACTTCTCGTAGCCCGGGGCGCCGCTGCTGCCCAGGCTGGACCTGGGGCTGGAGAAGCGGCTGAGCTGCTCCTGGCAGGAGGCGGCCAGGCTGGCCCTAGGGCTGGCCGCGTTGTATTTGCCCTCGGGCCCGGCGTGGGCTCGGCTGCCCGGCGGGCCGGGGTAGGAGCCGGCCGGCTTGGGCACGTAGACGCCCTCGTAGGCGCTGCCGGCGCTGTGCCGGGCGCTCTCGGAGGAATAGCGCCTGCCCTTGTCCGCGAAGCCGCCGTAGCAGGGCAGCGCCACCTCGGAGCGGGTGCAGAGCCCTTCCTCGCAGCAGCCCGGCTCCTGGCCGCCCCCCCGGCTGTTCCCGTTCAGCGAGCGGGACTGGGGGGCGGCCGCAGCCTGGTACACTTTGCCGGAGGCGGCGGCGGCGGGGTGGGCGTCCCCCGGGGGGGCCACGGTGCCATTCATTCTCTTGCCTCTCGGCTCCGCCGTCATGTGGGCTGCGATGGCCCGTTGGGCGTCTTCCAGCAGCTCCCTCCGGCTGGCGCTGCAGCCCCGGCCGCTGTACAGCCCATCCTGGCAGGTCTCGTAGAGAGACAGATCTTCCATGAACTTGCGGGCTCGGGCAATGTCCTCCTCGCACCTCTCCATGCTCCGCCGGCCCCGAGCCGGGGGGGGGGGGGGGGGAAAAAAAAAAAAGGGGGGGGGGGGCACGAAAGCCCGGCTGGGAAGTTTGCGGCAGGGAAAGGCACTTTTCTGCCCAGGCTGCTCCCCCTGCCCCAGAGATCTGCAGCCAGGTGACCCAGCCGCTCCTTGCACCAGGTCACCTGGAAGGCATCCCTGCTCCACAGCCCGTCGCACGACCAGCTCCCTTAGCCGAACGAGGAGAGGCTGGAAGAAAAAGCCCCCCCCGTGTGTCAATTTCCAGCCTTAAATAAGTTGCTCAGGCCAGTCAATGGCGCGCTGCGCGGAGGAATTTGCACTCAGGGGCTGCCTGCCTTCTCCCCCTTTCCCAGCAGAGTTGCACCTAGACCAAGCGCCGGGGACAAACTCCGAGCCTGGGGGCAAGTGCAACTCCCGGCTCCCAGGGTCTTTGTGGCGCTGGAAGAGATGCACAGAGGCCAGGCGAGGGAGGGACTCCTTTGTGTGGGGCAGGAATGCGAGGAAGGAGACTGGGCGCTGCGTCCCTCTGGAATGTAGTTAATGCTGGAGCCAAACAATGATTTTAACCAAGTCAGCCAGAGAGAAAGAGAGGCTGAGGCTGGAGGAGCTGCCTGGAAGCAGCGAGGTTGCAGTGTAGTTAGCATTCCCTTCATGTGACATTGTTCCTGCTCCTCTTCTCCAGTTTCACAGCCCAGGGGAGGAAGGGGGGGAAGCTCAAGCCTGGAGGAGGTGGGAGCCCTGTGCTTCACACCTTGAGGGGAGTTCAAACTTTTCTTCTGAAGCTGGGGTTTGCAGGATATAAATGTAATCTCCTCCCCAGATCTAGATAAAATCGAGCTCGCCCAACAGAGCCAGGAAATTCAAAGCTGAGGCTGACATGCTTGTCCTGAATTCACACACTGCATTTGCTCCATCTCTCCCCCCACAACCAAGTGGGTGAGTTTAGGAAGTGGAGTGCCAGCGTTCCCTCTGGACTTACTGGGTTTTGTCTGTTTGTGCCACACACTGAGCTATTCTTATTATTCAAGTTCTTAGGGATATTATTTTGTTTTCTTTTAAAGAAAGTTCCGTGCAAGATTATATAAAATGTAAGTTACTGATCTATGTACTGAAACAGAGAAGAAAAAGTAATGATTCTTTTTGAATAAATATGTTTTCCTTTATTTTTAATTTTATAAAGTCTCTTTGGAGGTGGATGCATTTGCAAAGCAGAAAATCTTAATTAAATAATTAAGTATCAACTGCTCATTTAAAACAAAAAAACCCAGTGGTTTTGAGGGAGCCATTCTTGTCTACTGGGGAATTCCATTAGGGAGTTTGAGTTAGAGACTTTATATATATATATAAACCCTTCTTTTCACTACTTCCTCAGAGCTCTTCTTTCTGCCTGGAACTTTTCATCCTTGGTTTCAGCTCTAATATGAGTATTTCTGGGGCACTTTAAGACAAACTCATTCAATCATTTTTGAGTTAGCTAAACATAAAAACTCTATCATTCCCATTTTTTTAATAATGCACTCTTTTGCTTGCAATTTGTATATATTTTTGTTAAAATAAATGGATCTGAATTGTTTGCAACTACTGCTTCAGAGGCACTGCTTTCAATCAGCAAATCTGCATTTAATACGGTGTTTGTAGTGGCATTTTTGCCACTATGTGTTAGAGCAGTGCTGGTAGAACTCTCAATAAGGCCTAAAATCATTTGATTTTGATGGGGCTCTTCAGGTGCTAAAAACTAGAGGATCAGTCCTAAGATTACATGCCAATTCTGGAATTGGATCATTGCAGACTGACAACCTGCAGCTGTGTGGAGCTGCACAGCGGTTTGCCCAGGGGAATCCAATTGCAGGATCAGGGCCTTAGGATGAAAGCAAATATCGTAACTTATTCTCAGATATTTATTGAGACTGTACATTTTTTTAAAAATGATACATGATGTATATATTGTGGCCCAAAACAATTTCTGAATCAACATGAGTTTTAAAAAAATATATTTATTAGGGTTGTATGCCTATGCAGAAGAAGTTTCTACCCAATTTTATTTTATGTGATGGTCCAGTAAAAAGCATAGCACTACTTGATATTTAAATTTGTGCGACTTAAAAAATGGTGGATAATAAAGTCTAAAAGCAAGTTAGAAATTGTTACTGGCCTGAAACCTTGGATACAAAGCTGGAGCCTAGAGTACATTTTTGCAACTAAATTATAAGCCCCTGGAAATAGCTTATGTTTATCATGGAAGTGCTGACGTAGCCCTAACAATAGCTACGTGAACGTTGCCACTATAATACTAGATGTTTAGTTGCCTGCAATCAGTGGAAAATGTTGCAAGTCTGAGCTGTGGGCACTGTACAGTGCCAGGAACATTTTATCTTGTTATCATACCTAATTAAACATTAAAAGCAACTGTGTTCTTGAAAAAGTCCCTAGCCAGGGAGGGTGATTGGCAGAGAGAGAGAGAGAGAGAGAGAGAGAGAGAGAGAGAGAGTGTGTGTGAGTGAGAGAGAGAGAGAGAGAGATTGGCAACTTGTGTGTGTGTAGGGGAAACAGAAAAACTCGGCTGCGGGGGCAGGAATAGGGTTCCCTATTTGATGACACTGCCAATGTAATGTTTAGTTCCAAGGATAAATATGTGCAAATACTGTAAGTCTTGTCAGTAAAACACACTTTTCTAATACCTTTTGTTGTACCCAATTTCTTTATCATGCTTTTTGTTGAGCTCCTCAGTATGCTGTTGCCATGTGCATGTGCTATTGATTGCTTTCCCCCTTCATTAAGGTGTACTGTATCTTTAGTCTGCAGTTGTCTGCTCCTTGTAAATGCTCCCTGCAATGTTTTGTGCATCTGTGATGGCTTACTATCTTTGTTCCAAACATCAAATATATGGTTGCCAACCCTCCAGGATTGGCCTGGAGCCTCCAGGAATTAAAGATTAATATTTCATTAAAAAGTATATCATGTGATGCAGGGGTGAAGGAAGCTCCCTAAAAGTGGGGGTGCCACTGGTGCCAGAACTGTGGCCCTGCCCCTCATGCTGCCCCTTCCCTGAGGCTCCGCCCTCGTGTCACCCCTTCTCCCTGAGCCCCCACCCTCACATCGCCTCTTCCCCCCAAGACCCCGTCCCCTGCTCCCTCCTCTCAGCCTGCTCACCCCGTCGCTCACCCTTATTGCTGGTAAAAGTGATGGGGTCATGGCTGCCCTGATGTGATGAAACTTCCAGGAATATGTCCAACCAAAATTGGCAACACTATCAGCACCATTGGGCACCAGTAGTATAATCTTCCCTGCAATTGTCCTGCAACTCTAACCTGGAGGGAAGCCCACAAAGGTTGAAAGGTGCTCCAACCTCTGGCCCATTCACACCTTGGGCTTCCTGGGGGGCTCCCAGCAAATATTCTAACTGTGGTGTAATGTGGACAGATATCCACCAAGAACTGTTCTGAGACTACTCATCTTATGCAGACCACAGAACAGCCTTCAAAAGAGAACAGGTTCAGATCATTGCTAACTTGGGCCCTGCACCCATATCATGCCCAACTGAAGTCCAGTTGTAGGACTGGGCACTTGGGTTGTATGATCCAGTGCCCTACAGGCGGAAAGTTCTATATCCTATTACCAATATGTCCTATTTATAATTATCTTTGCCTGTAAAAGGTTCCTGCCGGGGCTCGACCCTCCAGGGCAGGAGGGGAGCCACACCGACTCCCTGTCCACGAAATAAACAGTCGATTAACTCGGCTCTCAGTCCCTTCGGTGCGGGGGCTGAGTAGTCCACAAGCGGTGCCGCAGTCCAGGCCCTCTAGTGCAGGGGGGCTGGGCGAACACACAGTTCTGGAGGCCAGGCCCTCTGGTGCAGGGGGGCTGGCTAACAAGCCGTTCAGTTTAGAAGCCCAGGCCCTCTGGTGCAGGGGGGCTGGGCAAACACACAGTTCTGGAGGCCAGGCCCTCTGGTGCAGGGGGGGCTGGGCGAACACACAGTTCTGGAGGCCAGGCCCTCTGGTGCAGGGGGGCTGGCTAACAAGCAGTTCAATTTAGGAGCCCAGGCCCTCTGGTGCAGGGGGGGCTGGGCAAACACACAGTTCAGGAGGCCAGGCCCTCTGGTGCAGGGGGGGTTGGCTAAATAAGCAGTTCAGGAGGCCAGGCCCTCTGGTGCAGGGGGGCTGGCTAAATAAGCAGTTCAGGAGGCCAGGCCCTCTGGTGCAGGGGGGGGCTGGCTAAATAAGCAGTTCAGGAGGCCAGGCCCTCTGGT